AATAAAATAATATAATTTTAAAATATTTTTTCCTAATATTTTTAAGAACCCACAAACAAACACGCATCTAAATGAAAAAAAAAAAAAAAAAAAACAAATTAAGAAATCAGTCTAGATTACATACTAAATACAGCTACATACACACTGGTCAAGAGTTATAATTGACATGTTTCTATCTTTTAATAAAATAATATAATTTTAAAATATTTTTTCCTAATATTTTTAAGAACCCACAAACAAACACTAATCTAAATGAAAAAAAAAAAAAGAACTCTCTAGGGATCTCATAGATTACCATCTAATGCTGGCTGGTACGTACGGGTTTTCTATTAAACCGGTACACTATAGTACACTATAACACTGGTTTTGTATCGCTAAACTTTTTGGTCATACTGGCCCAGAAATGGCTTACCGGACGAAAATTAGTGTACCGGCCGGCACCTAACAGTAGAAATCTTAGACTTCTTTTAGGCGCAATTTTGAGCTTGTAAAAGAAAGAATCATACAATACTTAAAATAGAACAGGAAATGTAAAAGGGGAACACGAAGAGAAGATGCAATTACTGACCTCGATTGATTTTATCCGAAGCGAAACAAAATATTGAAATGCGCAGGTAATTAGTTGTAAAGAGAGAAAGAACAAAAACTACCAAAAAAAGAAAAAAGAAGAAAAATCATGGAATCTGATTCCATGAAATAAGAGGAACTGGGAATCATGGAATCTGAAGGAAGGAGAGAGAGCTAAGGTCGAGGTGAGGCGAAAGAGATGATGTGTGGGGTAAATATAAAGGTTAAAGAAGTAGAGAGAACGCGAGGGGAATAAAAGTTGATGTAAGGTCGGGAACTGAGTTTACACTTCGGGGAAATGAGTTTAGAGGATGTAACGCGGGGGGAAATATAAAGGTAAAAGAAGTAGAGAGAACGCGGTGGAAATAAAAGTGGATATAAGGTCGGGGAAATGAGTTTACACTTCGGTGTGTTTGATTAATGGTAACTTTTTTCGGGAATGTTTTTATTGAAAAGATAATTGAAAAAATATTTTACGAAAAGTGGTTAAGGTTTATAATAAATTTTATTTAAATTTTGTTTGATATTAATTTTATTATATTTGATGAAAAATTACAATAAAAATTTACAAAAAAAATTATAAAGTTGTTAAGGT